ATAGTATGTAGAGATCACTGTAAAACACAAAGCATTCAGAAACCATGTAAACTTGATGTTATTGTGCACTAAACATTTGCAGCTTAATGATTTTGGCTTGAATGCAAGATTTTCACTGAATGTAGATCGCCATAAATCTACTAAATGTCTCACTGGACACTCAGTGGAGAGAATATTGATTCAGCAGCATATTTACAGTGTGTTGTCTGTAAATAAAACATTAATTTAGCTCTTGAAGGGGGTTCAGCTTGCATACAGGCTGCTGAAATATTCATGAGGAGGCGTGCTGCACCAGAGGGAGTAATTTCCATCTTTTAGAAATAGCAGTCTCAGCAATATTTTGCAAAACTTGTCATGACAAACAGCAAATTAGCGATGCATTAAGTCTGGCTTGTTATCACAGGAGTTTGAAATGATAATGATAATGAGACAACCTGCCCTGTTGCTAGCAGAAATACTGTAAATGTTGCATAGAACTTTTTATTATTAAAGGGATAGTTCACCCAAAAATTCTGTGATCATTCGGAGTACTATATTTCGAGAAATGTCAGAGTGTTTATTTTTCATACAGTGGAGGTCATTGGTCACCAAAACTGTTCGGTTACCAACATTTAAAAAAAAAAAAGGTTTGTGTAACTGCACATTTCAGATCTTTAATTTTTGCTTGCGTGCATAAACATGTGAGCTGTGATGCACTGTTCAGCTGGGAGGATCTGATCTGACGGTGGGCCACTCAGAAGGATTTGTGTGCTTAACAGAGGATGGAGGCGGCCGTCTCACTTAGGAAGCTCCATCGTGAAGGATTTGTGCCAGTTCCCGCTTCACAAAGAGAGACCAAATCTGGAGGCCACACAGCTCAATGTGTGCATACGTGCATCCATGTGTGTGCATTGCATTGTGGGTAGTTTCTTAGATCTGACTGATGTTAGTTCTGAATATTTTTGTATTAGCATAAGATACATATACAGGTGTATTTTAGATGGAAAGAAGTAAATCATCTTTGAAAAGTCAATTTGTATTGCTTTTAAAAAATATATTTATTTATATTTCTACTGAAATTTAAGTAGGGATGAACCGATATTACAATTCTGACAGATACTGTTATTTTCCTGTTTTGACTAATATCAGATAAATGCCTAATATTAAAATTCCACTATTTTTTATAAAATTAGTTAAGTCTTAATACATTCAAAATATTTTTTTACAAGTAAATTTAGGCATTACAAAATTATAATGAACACTATTAAAAAATGAAAGTTTATCTTTTTAATGAAGATTACACTTAAGAGTTTTTTTTTTAAATAATTACTTACATTTTTAATTATAGAAAGACATACAGGTTCATTTTTAGGTGAACTAACCACAAGAAAGGAGTTGTTTATTGTAAATGACAGCATCACAGCTAACATTGTAGGTCACATAAGAATACCAACATGCCGGATGTAGTATGACTGGATTGAATTCATACACATATACATACTTTTAAAACACTTTATTACACTTTATATATTCAGATAATAAGTTCTTCAACAAATGCAGAAAATACAGAAAGTATGCGATTTTGGACACATTTCCTCTGTTAAGTCATTTAGTAGGTGGGCAGTGAGGCAGTAAGTGTGTGTGTGTGTGTGTGTGTGACCTCTTTGATCCCAGGTGCGTGTTGGGTGTGATGGTTGATTCCCTCCCTCTCCCAGAGCAGGTCACGCTTGCCTTTCTCCAATACTCTTCACCTTTCTCTCACAAGGCTTATGGATTCCCAACTCAACAAATGTTAAAGACACAGGTGAAAGAGCCTTGATTTAGAAGGCCTGAAGCTATAGATTAGCAAATTTTACTCAGATTTCTAGATCAAACGGCAGCAATGGACACTGAGATAGTTCAAGATTAGTGAGTTCTTCAGTGGGCAGGTTATCTTTGCGAAAACAGTCCACTCAACAGATCTAACATAGTGGTTCATTTGGTGCCCAGTCATACTAATGCGATCTATATGGGAGGTCTGTTGTGACACATTAGTGCCAGAGGGGGAGGGTGGGCACCATGTTGAAAACCAGCCTGTTCACAGCATAAAGCTAACAGAACACAACCCAGAGATGTAGTCAAAGGGATAGTTGAGCCAACAAATGTAAATTCACCCTCATGTTGTTCCATACCTGTATGACTTTATTTTTTTTCTGTGCAACACAAGAGTTTAGCTGCTCTTTTATGTACAATGAAAATGGATGGCGATTCACACTCTTGCACTACAAAAACACCATAAAAGGGCTCCATATGACCTGTGTGCGAAAGTCCTAGTCTTCTGAAGCCATATGCCATAGCTATCAAATCTCTGTCTTGGTTGGGTTCATTTTAAACATCACATGAAGGTCACAAGTAGTCAAAACTGGCATAAAATGCCTTGACGCATAATATTTTTTGCACTGATGTCTTTTTTTTAATATGTTTTGGTGTGTTTGAAATAGTTCATATATACAGTGTTTCTTTATGTCATGCTGCTCTGCTTACTGGATTCTGATTGGACAATCTTAGTATATTATAAAAGTAAGCAATAAAATAATTCCCACTCAAATCAATATTTATTGTCCATTTATTTATTCATTATTACAAAATACACAATTGAACACCAATTAAAATTAACACCAAAATAGATTTCATTTTCTCGCACTCAAAAAATATATTACTTTGAAATATAGACTTTACATTCGATGTATGTTCTAATTAAAATATGCTTATAAAATTCCTTTCGTGTTGTGAAAACAGAAAATGAAGCTGGTCTGTAAGTAGGGCTGCACAATTCAATTAAACAATTTAAATAATGATAATACTAAAATAATTGTAATTTTACAATGGTACTGTAAAAAAAATATTATTGTTATTATTACAGCCATTATTTCCCCAAAGTCATGCAGCCCTCTTTGTAAAGTTAGATAAATTATGACAGAACTTTCATTTTGTGGTCAAATACTGCTTTAGCTATAACTTTGTTTTGAAATGTTTGTCATATTGGCAACACAAAGTCCTTTCTATTCAAAAAGATAGATGAGGCCCATTTACTTTTCATAGATCATTGAAGACTGACTGTCTCAAGACTCGAGTCTCCTTGGAGCTCAGTGAGAGGGAGGGAGTTTGTGTTTGCTTGCTGGGTTTTGCATTTGTCTTTAAGTTTAGGGAGTCACACTGCTAGAGTAAAAAACAGCTGGAGATGTAATTCATCATCTCAGCTGGGGCTGAAACAGAAGCTGATCTTCTTTGTTGATGAGCAGACAGACTGATCTTGTCACTACTGTCCACTTTTGCTTGGGAAACAGGGACACTGTTGTATATGTGGCAGTATTATTGTGGAGGCGTATCCCATTAGGATAATATCTTGGTTTTTAGAGGAACTCGCTTTCAGCTTATGGCCCACAATTTCTCCACCCCTGCGTTCTTATACACACAGACACACACTAGCTAGTCATCATCCTGTAAAAACAATGTGGTTTCAGGCATCCTTACTCTTGTTATTTGAAACTCTGTCAGCACGTCCAAATATTCTCCGGTGGTTTCCAGGCGTGGGTTTGCAGGGTACGCAGACCAACTGCCCCGAATGTTAATAATACAGAGCAGCAGTTTGACATAATTGGGCTTTAGGTATCTGTCTCTTCTCTGTCTCAGTGTTACATTGGGTCAGTGACATGACACACATTGTTTGGTCCGGATTTGTCAATTTATTCAAAAATACATTCAGAATTCCTTCATACATTAACTTGAATACACCGCTTTTATGATGAATTTATATTTACAAAAAAAAAAATAAAAACTTTGAGGGGACATAAAGATAAAAAAAAAAAACTATCTGTAACACTTTAGGGAACACATATTCACTAAATAAGAGTTTTCCCTCAATAAACTCATAATTACTGCTTATTGATAGCAAGTAAGGTAGATGTTGTAGTAGTTATGTCGAGGTATTGGGTAGAAGTAAGGGATCTAGAATATGGTCATGCATAATAAGGCATTAATATGTGCTTTATAAGTACTAACAAACAGCCAATATGCTAGTAATATGCATGCTAATAAGCAGCTAGTTAAAAGTGAATCGCTAATCTAAAGTGTTAGCAAAAAATCTTTAAATGTATGACATTCTTAATATTGTTATCTATATTATATAGATATTATATAGGTATATAGGTAATATATATGATATAGGTAGAGCATTGTGTTAGCAGCGCAAAAGTTTGTGGGTTTGATTCCCAGGGAACACACATACTGGTAAAAAATGTATAGCCTGAATGCACTGTAAGTCGCTTTGGATAAAATTTGGATAAAAATTATTATTATTAAGTTATTAAACATTTCTTGAAAGTGTTATAGAAGTTAAAAAAACCACACACACATGAAACCAACATGAATACAAAGCCTACGTTCCTAAGAACATGGCAGATGTTTTTGAAACTAGATTTTTAAAAGCTCTTTATTGTGGACACTCTCATTGACCCCTCTTTCTCTCTCTCAGATAAGCAAACATTATGCAGGTCTTTGCCTCAGATCTCCTCTGACAAGACATTCTACACATTTGCTAATCCGATTATCCAGCCATGTTTAAGAAAAAAATCATTGTTAACTTGTTTGTTCTAGGCTATTTCAAAAATGTTTGTTGGAGATGATAAGAAAAACACCACTTGGGGCACACAATGAACTTCTGTTCACCTTTCTGTTTACCTGAAGGCTTAAACAGGGACATATGTGAGATAGGCTACTTCAGGATGTTTTAAGCTTAGATAAGGCATGGAGACAGACAGGGAGAAGGAGATTTGCTCCCCAGGTGTGGGAACAATGGCTTGTATCTGAAGGCCATGGGTGGATGGACACAGTCGGGGGGGCCTCAGTGAAGCTGTGCTAAAGGACAGAGAGGTCTAAGCAAATAGGGCCAGCGTCTTAGTCACAATGAGTGGGGCGGCTGCTCTCGGCAGGGGTGGGGTTCTAGAGGGAGGGGGCGAGGGAGAAAGACAGCAGCCCTGAAAATGGGGTGCGAATACAGAATGGGACCAGCGGGATGTGACTGTGAGTTTAATAAGGCTTTGTGTGTGAGTGTGTGTGTGTGTGTGGGGGGGGTTCACTTAGCTGCACTTTAGGGACCAAATTGTCCACAAACGTTGCAAAATCTGACAAAATCTCCCATTGGGGATATCCTCAAAGGTTAAAATGCTCTAAAAAATAAAGTAAAAAAAAAATAAAGTATTCTGAATATGTAAAAAGTTCAGTTTTAGAGGCAGGATGTGGGTTGGGGTTAGTCTGAAGTAATTACGATTAGCTTTATATAGGCTAAAAACTATGGTTATGGTATGTCCACATTTAAATGTGGTGTAAACACATGTGTAGGGCTTCAGGTTTACTAGAAATATCACCAACATATGAACTGAGGTTTCTGTGAAATTATGTTTTTATAGTTCTGATTTGTCCTTTAAGTGACATTTTTGGCTATAGTCCAGATCTAGTGTGAAATGCTCTATTTATAGTGTAAAAAGCCCCTAAATATACAGTATCAGCACTTTTGTCTTGTTTATAATAAAATAAATAAATAATAAAAATATCTTCAAAATTCAAAAAATCTACTTTTCTAATTTTTTCTTTTTTAAGTATTTTTTTGGACATTGTTTTGAGTATAATTTAATATAGTATGATACTTTTCTTTTGTTTTGGTCTATTGTAATATAAATATTTATGAAGAGTTTCATTTTCAAAGATTTATTATAAAATGTTATTATTTTTTCACAAAATGCAATAAATCCATGACACTTTTTTTTCTTCAAAATGCAATAAATCCATTGAATCAATATAAAAGTTATTTTCATATAGAAACTGTTGAAAATACACAACATAGTAAGTTGATCCACATATGACAGCCTCTGAACTTGGTCAATATTAATCTTATATACAGGCACTGGACTAAAAATACATTCAATCAGTCATCGCTCCCAAAATGATTTCAACGGGTCATCTTGTTAATGCTATAAATTAATAAAAACAATAAAAGAACATTTCATCATGAACATACATGAACAACAATATCACATTAAACCACAGAAATTCCAAAATGATATTTCCCTTACATTCAACTTCCAAAAGTGCATTCATCTTTGCCATGTTACATTCATTTAGTTGACTTTAACATTAATGGCATTAATAAAAACACTTACACTGACAAGCTATGCAATATCACGTTCATAATCGAATGTCACTCATCTGCGATTATGAACGCGATATAGCAGTGATCTACGGCTCTGTGTATTAAATGCCACTCCATCTAAAAGCACGTGATGGAGATTACCTATTCACAGAACCGGCTTTACTGACGTGCAAGGACGAAAGAAAAAATATATAGATAGAACGAATTAATAAAACATGGCCACGATTAAATTTAAATGAGGGAATGAATTAATAAATGTAACCACAAATAAGTTGTGGGAATGTGTTCCTAATTCATGAATATTTCATTATGGTCAATACTTTCATTTATTTTTTGGAGAGTGCATTTCCCATACAATGTAACTTGCTGCTTAACTACCACAGTATAATGCATCACTGGAGAAATATCTTAATTAGTCAATATTGCAATTCATGTGAGATTATTATTATAGTATATTAATTAGTAGTTAATCACATTAACTTGCAGTATGTAATTGCCGTACACTTTACTCCCATGTATATGCGATTCATTCAGTCAACAGCTTTCTCCACAATGTCATTTCCCCAAAATGCTGCTGTAACGAACATGGCATCTGAGGACTTTACTAATTTTGCTTTATTTGATGTTTGATTCATTAAGGGTTTGATTCTATGGTCTCACATCATACACCAGGGTTCCCTTGCACATTTACGCACGTGCACACTCCAAAACGGTGCCGATTGCACATGCTAAAATGAATTATTGGAATGTATATATTTAAAATGGAATAAAAGATATCGATTTTACTGCATGTTAGCTTGTTCACTGTGCCCAAGAGCATAATCTATGTCCACATGTCAGACTATCAGGAAACTGCGTTTCTAAACACAGGTCGAGAGCTGTAGAATCGTTGAACTATGTTTGTATCGACTGAACTATTGTTGGCTAATGATGCGTTTGGGAAACTCACCCCAGAGCAAGTTACTCAAACTAGTGAGCTACTTGAATAATAACACATAAAGATTAAGGGCACAAACATTTGAAGAGAAATCTATCACAACCTTGAGGTTTCTTACCAATATTCGACTGTCAGGTTCAAGAAATAAAAATGCCATTCATTTTCTAAATAGGAAAATAGATTTGTAAAGGTAACAACAACTTTAAATGGATATTTCTCCATTATTTTTGTCATTATGTCATTCGCATTAAAGAACATTTCATCATGAACATACATGAACAACAATATCACATTAAACCACAGAAATTCCAAAATGATATTTCCCTTACATTCAACTTCCAAAAGTGCATTCATCTTTGCCATGTTACATTCATTTAGTTGACTTTAACATTAATGGCATTAATAAAAACACTTACACTGACAAGCTATGCAATATCACGTTCATAATCGAATGTCACTCATCTGCGATTATGAACGCGATATAGCAGTGATCTACGGCTCTGTGTATTAAATGCCACTCCATCTAAAAGCACGTGATGGAGATTACCTATTCACAGAACCGGCTTTACTGACGTGCAAGGACGAAAGAAAAAATATATAGATAGAACGAATTAATAAAACATGGCCACGATTAAATTTAAATGAGGGAATGAATTAATAAATGTAACCACAAATAAGTTGTGGGAATGTGTTCCTAATTCATGAATATTTCATTATGGTCAATACTTTCATTTATTTGAAGATAATTTTTTGGAGAGTGCATTTCCCATACAATGTAACTTGCTGCTTAACTACCACAGTATAATGCATCACTGGAGAAATATCTTAATTAGTCAATATTGCAATTCATGTGAGATTATTATTATAGTATATTAATTAGTAGTTAATCACATTAACTTGCAGTATGTAATTGCCGTACACTTTACTCCCATGTATATGCGATTCATTCAGTCAACAGCTTTCTCCACAATGTCATTTCCCCAAAATGCTGCTGTAACGAACATGGCATCTGAGGACTTTACTAATTTTGCTTTATTTGATGTTTGATTCATTAAGGGTTTGATTCTATGGTCTCACATCATACACCAGGGTTCCCTTGCACATTTACGCACGTGCACACTCCAAAACGGTGCCGATTGCACATGCTAAAATGAATTATTGGAATGTATATATTTAAAATGGAATAAAAGATATCGATTTTACTGCATGTTAGCTTGTTCACTGTGCCCAAGAGCATAATCTATGTCCACATGTCAGACTATCAGGAAACTGCGTTTCTAAACACAGGTCGAGAGCTGTAGAATCGTTGAACTATGTTTGTATCGACTGAACTATTGTTGGCTAATGATGCGTTTGGGAAACTCACCCCAGAGCAAGTTACTCAAACTAGTGAGCTACTTGAATAATAACACATAAAGATTAAGGGCACAAACATTTGAAGAGAAATCTATCACAACCTTGAGGTTTCTTACCAATATTCGACTGTCAGGTTCAAGAAATAAAAATGCCATTCATTTTCTAAATAGGAAAATAGATTTGTAAAGATAACAACAACTTTAAATGGATATTTCTCCATTATTTTTGTCATTATGTCATTCGCATTGGTTCATGGGATTGTAGTTCTTTCCCTCATTAAACCTGTTAAGTACACTTTTTGTCTGATTTTCGTTTACTATTAAACCTCTTGTTTTAAGCAGTGTTTAGTGATGGATTTTTGAACAAAGATATTGATTAAGGATATGATTTTTTGCAGTGTTGAGCTGAAATTGCACAAACCACATGTCTCATTGATCATTCAATCACAAACACACTGTGAGCTCTGAGGGCAACCCATCTCGGGTGTTGTTGACACAACCAGATCCCCTCTTTCCCAGCAGTAGCTGTGCCACTGACCTCATACCGCTGAGGGGAGGGAGACGAGTGATGAGGTTGTTGTGAAGCCGCTTCACCCCTGAACCCTCGCCAACGTCTCTCTCCTCCACCAGTCACTCGCCAAGGACGTGGAAATCCCATAATAACCCGTCTCCACGGCACCCCACCAGTCCAGCTCCCTACTTCCCAGATGTTTCCAATTAAAAAGGAGGCCTTTCAGTCCAAGCCTATTTTGAATAATAACACATAAAGATTAAGGGCACAAACATTTGAAGAGAAATCTATCACAACCTTGAGGTTTCTTACCAATATTCGACTGTCAGGTTCAAGAAATAAAAATGCCATTCATTTTCTAAATAGGAAAATAGATTTGTAAAGGTAACAACAACTTTAAATGGATATTTCTCCATTATTTTTGTCATTATGTCATTCGCATTGGTTCATGGGATTGTAGTTCTTTCCCTCATTAAACCTGTTAAGTACACTTTTTGTCTGATTTTTGTTTACTATTAAACCTCTTGTTTTAAGCAGTGTTTAGTGATGGATTTTTGAACAAAGATATTGATTAAGGATATGATTTTTTGCAGTGTTGAGCTGAAATTGCACAAACCACATGTCTCATTGATCATTCAATCACAAACACACTGTGAGCTCTGAGGGCAACCCATCTCGGGTGTTGTTGACACAACCAGATCCCCTCTTTCCCAGCAGTAGCTGTGCCACTGACCTCATACCGCTGAGGGGAGGGAGACGAGTGATGAGGTTGTTGTGAAGCCGCTTCACCCCTGAACCCTCGCCAACGTCTCTCTCCTCCACCAGTCACTCGCCAAGGACGTGGAAATCCCATAATAACCCGTCTCCACGGCACCCCACCAGTCCAGCTCCCTACTTCCCAGATGTTTCCAATTAAAAAGGAGGCCTTTCAGTCCAAGCCTATTTTCTGCGTGCTGAGAGAAAGAGCGAGAGAGAGACAGAGAGCAGGTTGCAGAGAGATGGAAGGGCTGAAGGGAGGAAAAAATGACTTTCTTTTGATACAAAAAGGCCGTTGAGGGCAGAGGGTGACATTTGAAAAGTCACAGTGGCTGGACGCTTGTTTTGATCGCAGATATCTGAGGAATGAAAGATGAATTGTATCGCTCATGTCTGAGTCAGACAAAGATTTTCAGATTAAAATCACGCTTGTGGTCACAAAATCTGGGTCTTGTTTTTAAAAATGCTGTTCTTTCTCTGCGCTTCATTGAAGGTGTGCTGCCAAATATAATCATCACACACAAAAGACATATGGTCTGTATTTTTTCAGTTGGTGTGGTGGCAGCTGCCGGCAGGTCTGTGTTTGCTACTCAAAACCTCAATGTTGCCACAAAAGAGGCTGCCAGAAAGTAAAGACAGGGAGGATTTTAAATTAATAGTTTACCCAAAAATGAAAGTTGAGTCTTCATTTACTCAGACTGTTCCACACAAAGCTATTGTCTGGGTTCAGAGACTTGGAATGTAGTACTTGAGCCATATATTTTGGTACTAATAAATATTGAACCAATCCAGTCTCTGTTCACTTTTATTGAATGGACAAGAGCAGCTCGGACATTTTGCTAAACATCTTATTTTGTGTCACATTGAAATTGAATGAATTGATGAATGAATGAATGAATAAATAAATACCTTTCAAACATTTGGGCTTAGTAAAATGTATTATTGTTTTTAAAAGAGATTTTGCTCACCAATGATGCATTTATTTGATTAAAAAATACAATTAATATTGTGGAATATTATTATAATATAAAATAACTACTTTCTATTTTAGTATGTATTAAAATGCCACTTACTCCTTTGATGGCAAAGCATTTATTAGTATTATTATTATTATTTGAATTGTTTTAATGTCTTTATTTTACCTTTAGATTGGTTTAATGCATCCTTGCTGAATAAAAATATAAATTACTTGTAAAAATAAAAATCTTACTGACCACAAACTTTTTGAATGGTAGTGTACATTAATAAAAAATAGTTTTTTTCTTGGGTGAACTATCCATTTAAGGGTGAATTTCACAAAACCATTCAATAGCGTGTTATTGTTAACTGATTTGACAGTAAAGTCTCCCTCCTGCCAGTTATCTTTACTGTAATGCAGAATCTCATTCTCTGTAATATAGTAAGATTTTTTATCTTTAAGTACTAGACACATTATAGTAATAAGTTTAATTAGCTTTTTTAAAAATTAGCTTAATTGTGTTAAATACCATATGTCACAATACAAACAATCTTAATGTTCCTAAAATAGTCTGATTTATTCTGAATTATGCTCTTATTTCTTGCGGACCTGGACATATTTTTGCAAGATTCAGCTTAATATCTTAAATGTATATTAATAGTTTTTCATATTCCTGCAAAGACAATCCACTTTATGCATTATGAAGTAAGCTAATGGGCCATGTTTTATCTCTTGCTTTCTATGAAAATGCATTCAAGAGCCATAACACGTAATAGCTTATATGCAGAATAACTTGCATGGAGTTAATGATTTTGCCTATTTTCCTGTGATTCGGTCAGTGCTGATGTGGTATGGTGGCCTAGAGCATTCTTTAAAGTAATATTGCCAGCCATGTGAAGCTCTGCCAGTGCGGTTTAGCTTTCAACTTCTGCAAGATCAATGCAACTACAAATGTGGGTCATCAGCAAGGCTGCAGAGAATCTGCCTGCAGAATTACAAAAAGTTCTGCAGAATTTAAACATTCCTCAGTCAAGTTATGCACCTCTTACATCCCTTGTGTATTTGTTTACTAAATATATTGGCTAATTTGAATATGCTTTTTGCTATCAACAGATCTGACGTATGTGCATTGGAATTACATTGATTTTCCCCAACAAGCAGTTCCGGAAAATTTAAAAGAACTGCATAGATACCATGTGAGCTGTCCTGATAACAATCACAACAGGATAACAACTGAGACCAATGACTTAATAACTGTTTGATGTTCTCAGTTGGCCCGCATGCAAACTACAGTCCCAGAATTCTGCAGAAGTCTCAACTGTGAAACTATGAAAAACGTAAATCTTCAACATGACAGCATGAAAACCTGTGTCACCAGCAATGTTTGAGTATCTGCTTTGGCTTTTTTTTTTTTTTTATGTCTTCTCTGTCCACTTTTTACCATATTAAATCAATCCTAAATAATTTCACCCCACAATCAGTGCAGAACAAGCAAAAACAGTGTACAGATTCAGCAAGGGCCTTGTCATCATGTACAGACTTCAACTGATCCTGAACAATTTTAACAAAGAGAGTGTTTTACTGCTGCTGACCTAACATTAATAGGAGTGTAATTGAGTTTTCTCTAAGGCTGTGGCTTAAACATTAGTACGCAATCTAAAATGCATTAAAAGCTTGTTAATGTGTTTTTTTTTTTCACGTGTTGATAAAGCAGCGTTTGTTCTCATAGGGCCTCAAGCACACAATCTCAATGTGTTTTCTTTGGCAGCTTGGGCGCTAGTGGATCTTAGGATGGAGGACTCTGTAGAGGTTTACATGGATGAGTCTGCAGAGATCCCCTGCCTGTACGCCTTCACTGAGAAGCCCATGATGGTCATGGTCCAGTGGTTTGTGGTGAGTCCTGAAAGTTCTCAGGCTCTTTCACTTATTTGATTTAAAGCGATAGTTCACCCAAAAATGATAATTCTGTGTACCCTCATGTCATTCCAAACCTATAAGACTTGTGTTCATCTTCAAGCACAAATTAAGATATTTTTAAAGAAACCTGACAGATTTGTAAAAGTAATCCAGTTTAATCCAAGTCTTCTACAGTGATGCAATCGCTTTATGTGGAGAACAGATTCAATTTAGGCTTTTATTCACATATAAACATTGATCAGCATGCATAAACCGAAGCTCAACTATGCTTATTTGGTGTGAGAACAAACTTCATTGTTTCTTGCAGAAACTCAAACATGTTTATGTGACGTCAAGCAAGTATGTTAGAGCTTTCGTTGACCATATTTGATGAGCTCTATGAATATTGATCAATGTTTTGAATGGGAATAAAATTAAAGTTGTCCATCATTGAAATGGATCGTGTCTCTAAAGAAGACTTGGACTAAACTGCTTGTTTCATTTGGAGCACTTTTACAATGTATTTTACTGCGTGTACTTTGTTTTTTTGTGTGTTTTTTTTAGTGTGTGAAATTTTTGGTTGCAGGGACTTTCAATAGATGGACAAAATGATGAAAGAATATTAGAAATAGATGAATGGAAACATAAAGATGAACGGAAGTCTTATGGGTTTGGAATGATATGAGGATGAATAAATTATGACAGAACTTCCATTTTTGGGTCAACTTACACTTTAAAGGGGTCATAAAACTAAAGGTGCTTCAAAAGGTTCTTCAAGCGATGCCATAGAAGAACCATTTTTGGTTCCACAAAGAACCATTCAGTCAAAGATTCTTTAAAGAACCATCTCTTTCTTGCGTTTTTGTAATCTGAAGAACCTTCTTTCACCACAAAGAACCTTTTGTGAAACAGAAAGGTTCTTCAGATGTTAAAGGTTCTTTCTGGAACCATTTAGACAAAAAGGTTCTTCTATGGCATCGTTTTTGGAAGGCCAACCAAAGTAGTTTCGCTTTCACAACGAAGCACACTTCACGACATGGCAGCGGCGGCAACAATACTACAGCGATAATAAAAGTTACGCCTTCTTTCTTTGCATGAACATTTGGGCGGTGCTATGCAAATCTTCCCAGATAGTGACGTAGATATGTGGGGGCGTGTTAGAACGAGCCGTTTTAGGTAGGCGTGGCTGACTCTTAACGTTTATAAAGAATATCTCTTTGGATTTGAGACTTTAGTCTTTGCAACTTTACAGATCTTCGTTATGCACCAAGAGCTTGTAACACTCCAAAGAGAAAGGAAAAATTGAAATCGCATCATATGACCCCTTTAATGTTTCTGGATATATTTAATTGCTCAGATTTTAACATTTTGCCTGGCTGACATTAAAATGATTAAAAAGTCCCTTAGACTTACATTTGAATGAGGGACTCGAATCATATCTACAGACCATTTACCAAGTTTTACTTCCCATCATCCTTAGCGGGAACATGAAGGTCACCGGGTCAGGATCTCCTACAGCGACCTGACCATGCAGAAGGTGGACGAGAACACGAGCTACAGCAATCGTATCAGTGTGCGATCAAACAGTGATGGAGAAACTCTGACCATTCAGGACGTTAAGCTGTCTGATGAAAGAGAGTTTTTCTGTCAGGTCAGTGGTTTGGCAGCAGGCAATGGAGAGGGCAGGACTCTCTTGAAGGTTTTTGGTAAGTCTCTCACTCTTGTCAGTTGAACATTCTCACTAAATTGCTTAATATCGTTGCTTCTTTTCCTGAGTTTATAAGTATAAATATTAACTTGCTGTTTTCAGACCCCCCAGAGCCTCCTGTCATTGACGGTGTCCTCTCTGGAGTTTCTGTGTCCGGTGACTCCCCAGCTAAGGTACATCATATATTTAGATTCTCTCTGTGTTCATATATTATGTTTGTGTGAGTCAAATATTGTGTGGTGGGTTTAAGCTGACACATCTTTTATTTGGTTAGATTGCATCTTGTGAGACCAGAGAAGGCTTTCCCAAGCCAAATATCACATGGTACCGTGATCACATCCTCATCCACCCTATTAATGGCTGTGAGTAAAAGGAATACTGTATGCTTTGCACAGACCTCATCACTGACAGATGTATCTATATTTTTTTTCTATAACATTATCATTCATTTCGCTTTATAATTCAGTTCTAATATAATTTCAAGCAATATTAATAATATTAATTACTTTTTATACAAGTGTCCTAATGTTTGGGGTCAGCAGGTTTTTATTGAAATATTGAAATGAAATATTTTTTACAATTTATTAACCCAAATCTTTTTAATATATTTTAAAATGTATTTTTTTCCTGTAATGGAAATATTGAATTACTCCAGTTATCTTAAAAAAAAATCCTGTCCAAAAAAAATAACAACAACACTAAGCCCAAACCTTTAAACTGTATGTACAGTATATGAACATTCATGTCCCCTGCTGGAAAATCTAGAAGAATCTAGCCTAGAGTAAACATCAAATCAAAACGGACCTTATTTACTTTATTAACACATATTGCTTGTCTTATTGTGCAGGACTCATCAGTGTACATTAAACAAAGAAAAAATTGATTTATATGTGTAATTTTACATTAAAATGCAACAACTTTTCACCTTTGAGACTAGTGATGTAGATATATTAAAATTCTAATAAGCTGCTCATTAATTCTAATGAGCATACACAATTCATTATCTAATATCAGCTTATAAAACGGATAGTTCTGGTCCTTGATTCTGATTGGCTGAGCCACGTTTGAAGCTGTTGTAAATTACTCTACAAACATACACCTTTGTTTACTTTGTGTGTTGCTTGGCAACCACTTTATTGCAACCACAACTGTTTCTGAGGAACTACATTGTTTGGTGGAAGAATACTGTTTTTATTAATATCATTACTAGGGTTGTGAATCTTTGGGTAGACAGCGAATCGATTCGATTCACGATTCATAGGTTTTCGATTCAATTCAAGAACGATTTTTATAAATTCAGAACGATTCAGAACAATTTTTGCAAACTCAGAAATTACACAATTAAATTAGATTGGATTCGATTAACGATTCGATTCTGCATTCTTTAAGTGCATTCAGGGCCATCCTTAGGGGGGTGCAACTGGTGCAGTCGCACCGGGCCCCGCGCCGAACGGACCGAGGGGGACCCCCACCTCCACCACCTTCAACTACTTCACTTTAGCATTACTGGCCACGAGTACTCAGGAGAGATCACACATCAGCTGCTCAAAACATGTGTCAGTGAGACGAACTGAGCGCGAGCGCAATCCTGTGACAGTCACAGGCGGTAAATAGTGGAGCGCGTGAAGGAGAGATGCGAGGGCACGGACACTGTTCAAGGTCTCCATTAATTAGTGCTTGTAGTAATTTAATGTGTATATATTTTGAAAGCATTGAATCGCTATAGAAATCGCGATTCATTAGATTCTTAGCGTTTTAAATCGATTACTGTCCGAAATCGACGATTCACGATTCAAAAATCCATGTTTCAAGATCGATGCATTGCATCGTCAAGGTATGTAATCGATGCATCGAGAAAACGAGTGAATCGTTACACCCTAATCATTACACTTTATTTGCTCTGTTTTATTTTGTGAAACCTTACTACATATATGGAATAACCGTTTTATAAAAGCAATAAACCCCGTGAAGCTGTGGTTTACAGTGAATTTATAACAGCTAAGGGGGTTTTAGGCAACGCCCCTTAGCTGTTATAAATTCACTGTAAACCACGGCTTCTTGGGGCTTATTGCTTTATTATAATGATTAAAAAAATCTCTATTATTCACAATCCAATTAATGCCCAATTAAGAAAATTTGGTCCTGAGTTGCGAACACGTTTCATGTTGACTTTAGAGCTGTAGCTGGTTATTAGGTCATTAGCAGGTCCAGGCTGTGTTCATTGTTTGGTCAGCTGGACTGGTGGAACCTTTACTGGCCTGGTAGTCCATCTTGGTCAAGCTCTTTTGAGCTGGTAGACCACACTGAACAAGCAACATTGTTCTAAAAACCTGCTACTCCTAAAGATGGTATGACCTGGTTTTTCCAGCAAGGTTTATATGAAGAATTAAGTTCTGTTTCCTCTTAAATGTTGCCACTAATGTGAATGTATGTCTGGTTGTGTGCATGTTTCATGTCAGTGGCGAACGTGGTAACGCTAGTGACGAAGGAATCCAGTGGTCTATATACAGTGCAGAGTGAATTGCATTATAAGGTGACCAAGGAAGACAAAGACGCCCACTTTTCCTGTGAAGTCAGCTATTTTGTCCCAGGAGCTGTCAGGACATCCGAGTCCAAAGGCATCAATATTACAGTTCATTGTAAGTCCTTTTATGATTGAGAGTTTTTGATGAAGTGGAATGTGATATATTCAAACTCTTGCATCTGGGACAAGCTAAATAACACTACTTGGATGCTTGGGCTTTTGTATCTGTTGCAATGTGCTGGATAGCTCCGCCCACTGTGAAATCTCATTGGTCCGAAATACCACTAAGGTTAAAAGATCACATTAGATCTGACAGATCTAACATGGTTTTGTATTTGACTGTTTTTTATATTTCAGATAGCTTTAGTGTTTCACAGGCCATGCTGGGTAGATACAAATGATACAAATTGTAGTTAGTAACGTAACACATTACACATTTTAGGTAATCTAATCAGACTACTTTTGTTGACTGGTTTTAGATTACTTTTGACTCAAGTCACATTGACTTAAATAGGAATATTTTGTACCACACTGATATAAAAATAGAAAGAGCAAGAAAATATCTTCCATTGTTTGCTATCAACAAGAAGAAATACTGTAAATATCACTTTACGTCAGGGTTTCCCAAACTAGGGTTTGTGAAAGAACCTCAGGGGGTTTGCAAGTTGCTTATCAATGTAAAGAGAAATGTGAAAGAGAAAAAATAATAATTAGGGAAAATCAATAAATTACAAATAATTTATTTGAATAATGTGAATAATATGCAATCATGTAAACAAAAACAAAAAGTAACTGTAAATGCTGTAAGCATTTTAAAACATATAATGTAATAACAAGTACTTTGTTAATTTTTGGAATCTGATTACATAATCCAGATTACATGTAATCAGTTACTACCCAGCACTGGTCACTGCTAATGGTAAACTCCATTTTGAGGTGTGTTTATTGTGACACAGCTACAAAGGTCTTTGCTTTGTCAGCACTGACTAAATAACTGAGTATGAGAATTATGTTGCCTTGGCGAGATACATTTGAATGAAATAAGATTCATGGCCCTTTGCTCTTTGTGTTATGTGCATATGTCATATAGACCCCACGACCAGCGTGGAGATATGGAAAGAATCGCCCGAGGGCTTGGTCAAAGAGGGGGACACAGTGGAGATCCGTTGTCAAGGCGATGGGAACCCCCCAGCACCCATCATTTTCAACCAAGAACAAGTGAGAATAGTCTCTTTTATTTGGACCCGTTTTTTCTGAATGGGAGGCTGTAAAGCAATGAGAAGAAGCGGACATAGTAGACGTCTGGCCCAGACAATGTGCTTGATATGCACAGAGTGAACAGTACCATAATTGACTTGCAGCTTTAAGTATGTGTTTAATATGCATTTGCTTTAATGACAACATGACAAAATGACTTTACAACAGTGGTTCTCAAATGTTGCAGATGGCAGACCACTTCAGTAAAGCAAAAACTGCAAATCTGAAAATCTGAACCAACTACCTCAAAACAACTACCTGCAGTTTTAAATATTCTTTAGTCTATGCCAGGGCTGTCCAAAAAATAACTGAGTATGAGAATTATGTTGCCTTGGCGAGATACATTTGAATGAAATAAGATTCATGGCCCTTTGCTCTTTGTGTTATGTGCATATGTCATATAGACCCCACGACCAGCGTGGAGATATGGAAAGAATCGCCCGAGGGCTTGGTCAAAGAGGGGGACACAGTGGAGATCCGTTGTCAAGGCGATGGGAACCCCCCAGCACCCATCATTTTCAACCAAGAACAAGTGAGAATAGTCTCTTTTATTTGGACCCGTTTTTTCTGAATGGGAGGCTGTAAAGCAATGAGAAGAAGCGGACATAGTAGACGTCTGGCCCAGACAATGTGCTTGATATGCACAGAGTGAACAGTACCATAATTGACTTGCAGCTTTAAGTATGTGTTTAATATGCATTTGCTTTAATGACAACATGACAAAATGACTTTACAACAGTGGTTCTCAAATGTTGCAGATGGCAGACCACTTCAGTAAAGCAAAAACTGCAAATCTGAGGAGAAGTACCAACTACCTCAAAACAACTACCTGCAGTTTTAAATATTCTTTAGTCTATGCCAGGGCTGTCCAAACTTGGTCCTGGAGGGCCGGTGTCCTGCAGAGTTTAGCTCCAACCCTAATTAAACACACCTGAACCAGCTAATCAATCTCTTACTAGGCATAGAAACTTCCAGTCAGGTGTGTTGAGGCAAGTTGTAGCTAAACTCTGCAGGACACCGGCCCTCCAGGACCGAGTTTGGACAGCCCTGGTCTATGCCAATCTAGGCTAAAAAGGCCAGTCTGTAATTGTGCCAAATTGCGATTTTTTTATTTTATTTGAAATAACTTAACTGTACCTTTTAGCTAAAGAACTTTCTTAATCAGGGCTGCGTTTCCCAAAAGCTTCGTAAGCCTAAGAAGTTCATAAAAACGATCGTACGACTGATCTTAATATTACGGTCTGTTTCCCAAAAGCATCGTAACTTAAGTAGCACGTGAAAATTATCGTAGATCTACGCGTGCTCTGGAGTAATCGTAAAGCCCTAAGTGCATCGTAAGAAGACAGATTTATGCGGTCACCTGCAGGACAATCGGCAGATTACACCTTTAACTTTATTCAAGTGCAATGAGATTATAATATAAGGATTTGATTGTACTTTATTGTACACTTTATTACTCTTTTTTATTATTAATTTATAAATTAAATAATTAGAAAGGGCAGAAAAATAGAAATACACACCTAAATTAAATGACTGAACAAAATAAATAAATAAATAAAAGAGTAATGTAGGAAATATGCTTCAAAGACTGGGAAAAAAATCTGTCAATGACTTGCTGACGTGCACCAGCCATGTACTGGACCCGGAAATAACGTCTCTCTCTCTCTCTCTATAAAGTATATTATATATTATTTTATATAATATAATATAATATTGTATTATAGTTATTATATCCGAGTTCTCTGGAACGCAGCATTAGGTTAACATTTCAATAAACGAGCGTGTACTACAATTACGAGCCATTCTATAAGGTGACATTTCAGCACTTGACAAACGGATAGCGACTCCTAAGTATCATTTAAAGTACGGCTACGTGCGATTGTGTTAAGTGCATTTTTGGGAAACGCACGTGAAACAATAATGAACGATCGTAAATTGACTCGTAGAAAACAGTCTTAAGCGCTAAGATCAATCGTTATCGAGAAACGCAGCCCAGACTGTTTTCATAAATGTCAGTGTTCAATTATGTTACATTTCTGAAGTGAGACAACAGTAATTAACGCTAATTAGTCCGGAAATAATATTAAAACAATTATAGAGGTAATTCTTTGTTTTAGCTGATTAATCCATCAAAGAATTCAATGATGGTGCTTTTTGATAATTACATTAGATAGTTATAATATATAATAATTTTAATATATAGTTTTAATTGAAGGGTAGTGTTATTTTAGTATTATTTATATAATATAATTTTGTTCAATTTATTGTTTTGCGTTTTATTTCAGAGTTGCCAAGGTAACATTTCTAATTATTTTGGTTTAAGTTTTTAAGTTACGTTTTTCATGTAATAGTTATATTTTATTTTATTTCAGCTTTATTTCAGTTAACAAAAACATTTTTTGTTTTAGTTAACAATAACAACACTGGTAAAGGATATCAAGTGGTCCACAGACCACAGTTAAAAAACACTGCTGAAGAATGACTGCTAGACTTTACTCAGACTTTATTGAAAAAACATAAAGGGATTGTATAATTTTTTTTTTCATGTTACTCACTGTATACTATTACTTGTGGTCTATGGATGAATGTATAATAGACATTCACACTCTTCTGTGTGTCCTGCTCATAACAGTCAGATGTGGAGCTGGATTCCTCTCAGGGGTTGCTGGTTCTGAAGGAAGTGTCTCGTGCAGATAGCGGTGTGTATGAATGTCACTCTCTGGATGTGGATGCTGTGAACCATGATGAGGTGTTAGACACCCTACAGCTCTCTGTGCACTGTGAGTTCAACTTCCAGCTTCTCAAGTTTTCACACACAGTAACACCAGCATAATCGAATCATCTATCAGTATTGTTGCCAAATTTGTTGACACTTAATAATGTTGAATAATTAACATTTTCTCTACCATTCAAGATAAGATTTTTATATTAAAGGGGTCATATGATGCTGCTAAAAAGAACATTATTTGGTGTATTTGGTGTAAGGAAATGTGTTTATGCGGTTTAAGGTTAAAAAAACACATTATTTTCCACATACTGTACATTATTGTTTCTCCTCTATACCCCGCCTTTCTGAAATGCGTCGATTTTTACAAAGCTTATTGGTCTGAAAAGCGAGTTGTGCTCTGATTGGCCAGCTATCCAGTGCGTTGTGATTGGCCGAATACCTCAAGCGTGTGACGGAAATGTTACACCCCTTAACAGACTGTGATGCTGTGTCCTGGAGCGACGAGACAAAAACATTAAAACCCATTATAAACGAGGCATTTGTTGCATCCAGTGGGGACATAATTACGGATTATAATGACTTATACTGTCTTTTTACGCGTTGCATCACGTCCCGTAAACATCAAACCATGTCTGCATTTGTGATCGGAGAAATGACAAACAACAAGCGCTACTCTACACTGCTCAAAACTCACGTTTGAATCATCAGTGGCAAATTCTTTAAATATGAAAATGTACTTACAGTCTGTGAGTCAGAACAGCCGGCATTGTAGTCTACTTTTCCAGGATCAGGAAACAGTCCTCCATAAAATGCGCTGGACACATCTGAATATTTTACTATTTTCTAGTCGTGTTCTCTTTTGGAAGGCCAAACAAAGTAGTTTCGGTTTCACAACAAAACACACAGCGTCTTCACGACATGGCGGTGGCGGCAACAACAATACTACAGTGAGAATAAAAGTTACACCTTCTTTCTTTGCGTGAACATTTGGGCAGCGATATGCAAATCTTCCCACATAGTGACGTAGACATGTGGGGGCGTGTTGGAACGAGCCATTTTAGATAGGCGTGGTTGACTCTTAAGTTTGATAAAGAATATCTCTTTGGGTTTGAGACTTTAGTCTATTCACAAACAGCTTGTAACACTCCAAAGAGAAAGGAAAACTTGAAATCGCATCAGATGACCCCTTTAATACTTTTTTTTTAGCAAGGGTGCATTGAAATTATCAAAAATGACACTAATAAAATTTATAGTGTTACAAAAGATTTCTATTTCAATTGTATGCTGCTCTTTTGAACTGTCTATTCATCCATAAAAATATTGAAACAAAAAATGTATTGCGGATTTCACAAAAATAATGGGCAGCACAACTTTGATTATTGATAATAACAAGAAATGTTTCTTGAGCAGCAAATCAGCATATAAGAATGATTTCTGAAGAATCATGTGACATTCAAGACTGGAGTAATGATGCTGAAATTTGAGGAATAAATGACATTTTAAAATATATTAAAATATAAAACAGTTATCTTAAATTGTAATAATATTTCACAATATCACTTTTAAATGCAGCCTTAGTGAGCATTATAGCATTCTTTCAAAAACATTTTTCAAAAATCTTACCGACTCCAAAATTTTATTTATTAATTTTACAGATACTTTTGGCCAAAGTGATTTAAATGAGAAACAAAATGACAAAAATAATTTAACATAAAGGAGCCAACATTATTAGCAGTATGAGTTACACCCTTTATTGAAAAATAAAACTTCCCTAGGTTTACTAGGCCTCAATTCTTCCACATTTTCTATTTATGTTGCAAAATACATACATTTGTTTTAATTCTATTATTTCATTAATCATTTTAATTAAAAAATGGATTAAAAAAGTGATATTTTTAAGTTAAAAGTTCAATTTTGCTGGAGCAATATGAAAGCAATACTTTACCCCAAATGAACAATTCTGTCATCATTTATTCACCCTCATTAAATGAAGCTGATATAATTCAAGTAACGCTCACAACAAGGCTTTTACTCTGAATCACTGACCGTTCACATATATGTGTGTGTGCTCAGATCTGGACCCAGCTGTGGTGGTGCCCAAAGACTCTGAGGTCATGCTGAAAGGAGAGAGTCTGACAGCCACCTGCAATGCCCTGTCGTCTTTAGAGACGTCTACTGTGTGGTTTAAGGTAACGCTGCAGTGTGATTCACTTACCTTTCAGCACTCTAGACACGTTCATTTGGTCTCCCACATTCCGTTTAGAGCCTCTTTTTACTCCTCCCGTTCTTCACTAAATTTGTTTGCACACATTTGTTTGTGTATAGGATGGGATTGAGGTTGGAAGGGGACACTTAATCCAGCTGCAGGATGCCACGTTTGACACATCTGGACAGTATGACTGTGAGGTGACTGTACCGTCTCTTCCAGGCCTGCTGACTAGCGGTTCTGTCCATATTATCGTACAGGGTGAGGAAGAGCTCATCAAGGGATTTAAACTGCTGAAACTCACCAAAAGAGCTTTATATTTAGTTTTAGTATTTCTAAAATAGTTGCTGGATCTGTTCCTCCAGGCGCCCCTCAGATGAAGGATGCGGAGAGGGAGATTGAGCTGACGGAGAAAGTCGGGGGTTGGGTGAATTTGAGCTGTGAGGTGGGAGGTTACCCTAGACCCGCCATCACCTGGAGCATCACTGGCAGTCAGGTAACACAGATTTCCTCTCAGTGCTCTGCTCGTGTTACACTGAGCTGTGGATTGACGCTTTTGTCTTGTTTATGTATTTGTGTGTGTGTGTTGTAGTCTCAGAGCTGGCGTGAGGTGGTTAAAAGAGAGACGGAGGATCAAGTCCACAGCGTTGTGATGCTTAAAGTTACCACTGACATGGTTGCTGTCTGCAATTCAACAAATGACTTTGGAATAGAGACCAAGACTTACAGCATCAGGAGCAGTACGTGTTAATGTTCCTTATTTACACTGAAAATCAGGGAACATCCAGTTGATTATTAAACATTTTAGAATAATAATAATTATTAATAATGATTAATCACTGTTATTAATCATGACCATGTTGATTTCATATTTAATATATTTGATTATTAATGTTAAATATGACACTTAAATATAATGGACTAAATGTATTATAATAACAAACATTTATTTAGGAACATTTCTTTTAATATAAATGTAATATCTATGCTTAGATTATTGTAAAAAAATTTTTACATATTTTATCTAAATTTATCTATGTATAAAATTATGTTTTATTAATTTATAAAATGTATAAGTACACTACTGTGCAAGTTTTGAGTTGGTCAATTTTTATTATGTTATTGAAAGACGTCACTTATGTTCACCAAGGCTGCATTTAATTGATCGTAAAAACAGTAATATTGTGAAATATTTTTTAACATTTTAAAAGAACTGTTTTCTATTTGAATATATTTTAAAATGTAATTTATTCCTGTGAAGCGAAGCTGAATTTTCAGCATCATTTCACCACATCCTTCAGTTTCACATGATGCTTCATTCTGATATGCTAATTTGGTGCTCAAGAAACATATCTTATCATTATCAATGTTAAAGGGGTCATATGAGGTTGCTTAAAAGAACATTATTTTGTGTATTTGGTGTAATGAAATGTGTTTATGCGGTTTAAGTTTCAAAAAACAAATTTTTTCCCACATAATGTACATTATTGTTTCTCCTCTATGCCCCGCCTTTCTGAAACGCTTCGATTTTTACAAAGCTCATCGTTCTGAAAAGCGAGTTGTGCTCTGATTGGCCAGCAATCCAGTGCGTTGTGATTGGCCGAATACCTCAAGCGTGTGACGGAAATGTTACGCCCCTTAACAGACTGTGATGCCATCTCCCGGCATGATGAGACAAAACCATTAAAACCCATTACAAACGAGGCATTTGTTGCATCCAGTGGGGACATAATTACTGATTATAATGACTTATACTGTAGTTTCATGTATTTCATGTTCATGTTACTAATGTTTATAAACAGACCCTATTAAAATAATAATATCATTCTAGAAAAGAAATTCATATGGGTCAATTTATTTGTCTGCAAAAATAGGCATTTGAAGATCAAACGGTTTTTACAATCATGAGAAACAAATTTTGTCAGTTGTGTCCAAACTTTTGATTCACTTCTTGTAGGGATTTTGACAAAACTTTCTAACAACAAATTGCATATGCAATATATAATTCAGTTCAGAAGTACAGAAAAACATCTATGCAGCCAAATGTTGCAGTGTGGTGTATCGGTGTGTTAATCTCTACAGCATGAATGCCTACAGCACCAAGGAGAAGACTAACAAAGAGGACATCGTCGTAGAGATGAAGGCAAAAAAGACGGAGGAGTCCGTGCTGTTGAAGGGCGTCAATGGGGAAAAGAAAACTCCCAATGACCAGGTAACCATATGTGCTTGACTCTTGTTACCATGATGAGATGACCTGAAGAACATCTCTTTAACTTTATTATGTGGTGCTTTTTCCTGGAATAAAGAGCAGTGCCCTAAGCTCATAAGTGAAGACTTGTGGGCGACTAAAGATGGCATCTGTACCTCCCTCCTGACCCAACAATCAAGTCTTAAGAGCTGGAGGACCTCTTGTGGAGCAGCCACCTCCTCTGGATAAAGTGGACTGTACTTTTGTATCTCGTGTGTGAGCAGCAGTATCCATGCTTGGATAAATGGGACGTAAGCGATAAAGGAAGATTGCTCTCTGTTTTCTACTGTTCTCCATTGTTTTTCTTCAACCATCGACCAATTTCAAGATCACGAGCTTCATCCATTAAAAACAAGCAAAATGAATTACGGTGTAAAAACATTCTTACACCCTGTCTACATCTAATGTGAGCACCACGTTGCATCAAAAACCAACAGAGTGCTGCAGGGATGACATATTTTTGTAGGCCAAAGTCTGGAAACGAATTAGCTTTTCCATCATTCTGAAGTCGATGGTTTTTTTGAATGGGTTTTTGGTTAATTCTCTGAAATAAGGTCTCTGGTTAATACAAGCTCAGGCTATTTTGACGGTTTATTCTATGACATAAAATACAGAAACCCAAAAGTTAATGGAAAAATCCTGTTGGGTTTTGGTCAAGGAAACCAGGGGGGTGCTTACTTCCGAGTTGCCCTACAAAAATATGTCATCATCACCTCAAGCACAAATGAACGCATTTATTAATGTGACTATTTACATAAAAATGGTTTTTCATATGAATTCATTCTGCTTGTTTCACAAATGAGGCTTGATGTCCTTTTTAGACCACAAAAATGTATATACTGTATTATAAATGTCTTGCGATTGATCCTACTTGTGACCTTATTGGTTCCAGATGTGCTTTTCTAAGCTCTGTTCAGATTTTTCTTTTCGTTTTTCAGTCCTTGCATAATGCAGCAGAAAGCATCTACAAACAGCGAAAAAGTTGATTTTGTTTTAAACGTACAGAACATTTAGTCGTCTCCTGATATTCCAGTAAATCCCAATGGACCAAATAATAAATGTAAGTTCAGTTTGAAAGGCTGTTCATTAAAAAACCCACGTAAAGACATTGAGAATAACAGATGTGTAGTCTTCATAAACACACAGCCCTTCACAATATTAAGAAACCCAGTGCAACCTGGATGACCGAATAAACATGACCCCGGCATAATACTGAGCTGACACTTAATAGTGTGTGTACGGTCCAACTCAAACTACTGCAGAGCTCGTGTACTGTTTGTAAATAGTCGTAGGGAAGGAAATTGTAGCTCTTTGTGTTTTGAGCTCCCTCTGTTTCTGCCTCAACTGCAGTGCCTGCGGAAATGTGTCTTCATTTCACGTCAATGTTAGTTACACTGAAACCTTTGTGTTGTCTTGTTTGTTTTGCGCATGACTTTGTATTTGGTGAAGGGAAAGTTTTGTTGTTTTCATAAATGCCGTGAATAATAATACTTTTTAGAAAGAGAAGCAGTACGTTTTAGCCTAAAAACCGATGGCTCCTTTGTTTGCTCTCAGTTTTTCAGTTACTTTTTCAGATTTTGAAAAGCTCGTTTTTGAGGCCTGTCATTCATTCATTAATGGGATTTGTTCTAATGTACAGACTTGTTTCATGTTCTTGAATGTGGCTTTGGCTTTTACTTTTGTTCAATAACGACGTGACACGTTATCTACATCAGCTTGAGGAAGCTGAACCCTAATAACTTCAGGACTGTTGTTAAAACACTAAACCGCACTTGGACAATTCATATTTAATTATAGCTCTGCTTATGCATTCTTCTAGACTCATGTTGTGTTATGCTTAAATTCCATCGAAAAAGCTATTAAAAAAAAAGTTGGCTGATTTTGTCTATTTTTGTGTTCAGCTTATTTTCCTTTACAAGTCATGTTCAGTTCACAACCTTTTGTGTTTATTGAAGTGAAACAGAGACACAGGCACCTTTTTTTCTTTTTCGTAGTTTAACAATCTTTCCATTGTCTAAATATTAGTGCGAGCCATTTGAGACTGTCAGAACACTGTTGAACCACTGCATACTACACTGGCACCTTTCCCCTGCTTGTCCTCGTGAGCAAATTATGTTGTAATAGCGCAAACTATCATTCTCATTGTAGATTGTTCACAAACACAGTTACGCAATGTGTTATGTTTGATTTCACTTATGGTTGTAAATTAAGTACTTGTGGTTTGATGCTTGCATTTTTTATATCATTTTTGGCCAAAAAATAAAGATATGTTACATTCAGTGTTTGTCTCAAATTCTTGGAAAGCTTCACTTTTGTTTCATTCTCAATGCAGGTCTTTCCTCCAGGTGTCCAGTTGTGTTTCCTCTGGCAGATCTGAATCCAGAAGCGCAGAAGAGTGTTTTTACAGAGTCTCTGTCTGCTGAAGTGAAGCATCCGTCAGCACTGATGACAATATCTGCTGATCCAAGCTGGTTTTATTTAAATCACAGTTTCCATGATATCTTTTATTGAGATGTGTACTTGCGAAGGGCACATTTGCATTTGTCATTCAGTTTCACTGAACATATTGTTCTTAATTACCGTGTTATTCTGAGTTTTAATTCCATAGTGCTGAAGTTAAAGAAATTCACCAGACACATAATTATTATAATCAAATGAGAAAACTCGAGTCATTCTTGCTTATGACAATAATCAGAAACCAAAGTCAGACGTGAACAAAGTCATGAAATTAAGCGTTAGCATTAGTTCTGGCAGGTCACGTGAGTCAAGCTTGCATCAGCTGATTCTCAGCTATTTCAAGTCCCAATAATTTTATGGTTTTAGTTTTAGTTAATTATAATAAATATGATGCAGCCATAAATTTTAAGTATTTGGTACACATATCATTTATATCTTATTAAACTTTCTATTTGTCTTTAACGTTTTATTAATTTAGCTTTGTTATGCTTTTTTTTTTTTTTAAATATGCACATAGTGTTCATTATGTTTCATTTTAGTTATTTTTGTACATCAAGTTACATGACATAAAAATGAGGACTGTGGCCTTGGCAACTAGTTACATAAAATATGTTTTTTTTACATTTTTAGTTAAATTATATTTTATTTCAAGTCTCGTTTTTTATGGTTTTAGTTGTAGTTAACTATAAAACCCTGATACCGACAGCAATTTTAAATATTTGCTACACAAGAATTGTGCATATCTTATTAATATGTTTGTCTATTTTGTCTTTCCAGCGCAGAAATGCCTTTGATGATTGTGGAGACGAGCTGCAGCCTAATTGGCTGGTACTTTCTGTATGTGTTTCTGTGTCACTTGAACAGTGCGAGAGATTGTGAGTGGAACTGCAGGCTGGTAACTCTGCTCCACGGCATCCTGATCGTCTGTGTGACTGCTTACATTGGCTTCATTGCTGGGCCATGGCCTTTCACACACCCAGGTAAGTTGTCCTGTTTGGAAAGTTTTAACCCTCTAAAGCCTGACATATGAAATAATAGTTAGAAAATAAAAACAACAGCAACAACAAAACATTTTCTTTTAAATGGAACAGTTTATTGAACCTTTCAAACAAAACAGTAATAAAAAAGAGAAAAGGTGCACTCAACATTATTTGAGTGTAATATTTTATCAGACTTATATACTGTATGATAGAGGAATGTGGAGAGGGAAAAACACATAGGTTTAATTTAATTTAAGGCCCAAACTGAATAGATATATGCAATTTGGTGCAGTAAGTGATATTTATATAGCCAAAAAAGTAGAAAGAAACTGACACTAGGTTGTGCTATAATAAGTCAATTTGCATTTGGTCCATAACTTTGGAAACATAAGGGCTAAATTCTTTTTCATGAATCCTTAATTCAGAGTCTACAAAATGGTACATTTTGATTCATTGAAATGTTGCAAAGATTGGCATCATTATGGACATTTTTACAAGCTGACCAACATCTGCTGAACGCAATGTTCACGAAAGACAAGACAACAGGACATTCTGAGGATATGCAACAGGTTTCATAATATTCGGCCAATAGGGGGAGCAACAACTGAAAAATCGCCGTAACTCAGCTATGTATTATGATTCATGAAGTTGAAAATTGGTATGCATCTTTTTTTGTGTCGAAATCCTAACATATCCTCTAATAAGACTTTGATACTTCAAAAATCATGGTCACCAGCAGCCAATCAAACCTCTAGAGGCTAATAACAACAAACCTGAATTACCTACCAATACAAAATGGATATATTCATACATCATGGTAGAACCATAGACTCAGTAGAACGAATATGTGTATCAAATTTTGTGAAAAACGGCCACAAAGTGGCGCTATAATAAGTAACTTTACATTTTAACTAAGAACTCAGCAACCAGGTGTAAAAAAAAAAATCTAAATTCTTCTACTTTCTCAATGCTCAATTTAAGCTTAGATACGAATAATTGAATTAAATGCATAAAACCAGTTTATTTGTAGAATTATGACACACTGGTGATACAGTTATTCTTGGGGCTATGTTTATTAATATCTTTAGGGCCCCAAGCAGCAAAGGTGCTGGAACCCATTTGCATTTGTACTGATTTTCTTTTGCTTCTTCTGTATTTTTCTGCCATCAAAAATAAATAGGCGCCAGAGACCGTAAATCACAGAGATCCCAAAATCAGCAGGATGGTCCCAAACATGCACCGCTACTTATGTGCACAGACACGCATCTGCCCAACACTAGGTGGCGCTATAATAAACCAATTCGCGTTTTGGTCAATATCTCGGACCAAACTTGGAACCTCTGGAAGTGCTCGGCTCAGTTCATTAATTGTATTCATTTTGAAGTGTTAGAGATGGCAGATGGCAGTAGATTTTTTGTTTAGTTCATGACAGGGACCCCTGAGGCCATTGCAGCTTCAGAAGCGATACATTTTCTTGCAAAATTCCTTATAAATTGTGATATAAATTCTTACAAAATTTCTTATACATTTTCTTATGAATTCTCTCACAAAGTAATTATTATTTACACATCCCCAAGCAAGCAATACCGCCAGATGCAAGTATTGCTGGTTCAAGTCAAGGTGCCAGGCACTACCAGGACTTGCCGGCCCCGCAAAGACATTAAAGCCTAAGTGGAGGGATGGAAAGGCCACTCTTGTCAGGCCACCAGACACAAAAATGGCTGAAGACAGAAAACAGCAGGGTGGCCATGACAGGAGTTGTTTTCTGATGTTCTACATGTCTTACTCCATGACCTGAAACAAAAAATATACCAGCATGATTTGTCTAAATACACGCTTAGAGCAAAATTGACTTGGAAAAAATGTAAAATAAAAATTAAATATGAATAATATTAAAAGGCTAATCCTTGACTAAACTAGTCATAGAGATGCATCTTCTCCAGATTCAGTCTCTTCTGTGGATCAGGCTGCAGAAAAGCACAAATCATCTGACAGCATTCTGTGCAAAATCACGAGAGAGACGTTTGATTATTAGCTTGTCCTTCATTGTTCTTTGATAATCTTACCTTATATATATATATATATATATAT